TACTATTCTACCTCATTGTGACCAGCACTCAGGACTGTTACCCCTATTGAGGGGAACATGGACCGAACAGCAGTGACAGGCACCAGGGCTAGCCATGACCCAGCCCTGGTGGAAGTGGAATCGAACGAACCACGTCGCACGGAAACTTCGGACGCCAGGCACAAGCAATCTCCTATTAGCCCCTAAGTTGACCAACTGGTAACTCACGCCCTCTACTCGCCCACCACAGTCCTAGTAGATTTTAAGGCGGTGTACTTATCCTCAAAACACCTATCATCATCGTCAGTTAATCCAGACCAACCAGTGACTCACACCCTCTACTCGCCCCCACAGCCCTCGTTCAAAAAATGTAAAATGTCCATTTTAACGAAATCGCTGCATTTATGACAATGAGGTCAAGAACTTCATAGCTAACAGCTATTGGGGTTGAGGGGGGGGGACGGGATAGCCGACAATGATCTTTACATTGTCTTCAAGGATGACAGGAAGGCTAACTTAACTTGGCTCAGACTGCCGCAAAAAAGAAAAGAAAGAAAAAAAGAAAAAAGAAAAAGGACTGCCGCTCAGTCACAAAGCACCATTAGACCTACAAATCTCCAAGATAAAACCTACCTTCTTCCCCCGAGTACAACGCATGGTCATTATAGCTGTATTTGGACTGAAAGATGCCCCAAATACAGCTATAATGACCACCGTGTGTTGTATTCGGTGGAAGAAGGTAGTCAGGTCTGGTCACGCGACAACCTTTTATTTTTTTTTTTATTTTTTTTTTTGGTCAAGCTACAACTTTAGCACCATTCTCTGCACCACCTTGCGCAAGAGGATCCTCCACGGTGACATTGAATGGGACCTGCGCATGTGGCAATGACGATAAATAAGGAAGGAAAGTGCATGGTAAATCCCGAGCTCACTGTCACTCACCTCACGCGGTCAAGCAGGCAAGTAACCTACTCCACAATAGCAGATCCACCCCCCCAACCTCATTCTTCGAAGGTGAGTCCTGCAGCTTACAGTCCAGGCTTCAAGGATTACGAAAGCCATGAGCATGAGGTCGAAGAGGGTATAGGGTTTAAGGGGTCCAAATAGATTAGACAAACCTCAGGGGGCTGCAGAACAGGGCTGGGCGAATAGATAAGGGGTGCTCTAAGAAGGGAAGGGTGTCATTAGCAGCTCCATGGGACAACGGAGAACCGGGTCTGAGAAGAGAAAAGCCCAAAGCCCCAGGAAAACAACAAATAAGCAATCTTTGTGTTATAAGATGTATCAATGGGACGCTGGACCCGGTTTCCAGCAGGTGCCGCCCCCCACCAATAGATGGAGCAGCCCCACAGAGAAACCCTCAATCCTGACGGTTCTCTTACCACCGCCGGGATAGAGGGTTTAAACAAGGGCTTTTCTTTGAAAAAAAAAAAAAAAAAAAAAAAAAGGGACGGTAAAGGACGCAAATAAATATTTACTGGTGGTTTAAGACTAAGATCCCGGAGGGCATCTCGGTAATATTACCTGGGGATTCAATGCACCCCCAGACAGATGGATGGACATGTGGAAGATACCACCCTCCTCCACATGACCTGTGGAAGAGGACGAGATCATAGCAGTAGCAGACCTATGCACCTCCTTATCCCTCTTCTGTACAATCAGATGTTATATGTGCCGGATTGAATACGAAATCCAACGTGGCATTCACACGTTCCCACGATACACATGCTCAATGACAAGTAGACTTGGAGCGAGCAATCCACATCAAACCACATGATGAGAGAATGCACAGCAGAAGCACTCAAAACCAATAATAGAATTGAAAATTTCATTCAATTCTGATTAAACCGTCTCCCTCCAACTCAATGAGCAGCACGAAATTCCCAGGATCCCAACCACGTTTTTTTTTTTTTTTTTTTTTTTTTTTTATATATCCCAACCACGTTTACCGACACCCAAGAACAAATTATTTACAACTTTCATCGAAGTGTGTCTGGGAGTCTTCTTCTTCCTCCCTCAAAGTCAAGCTCTGGCTATGGCGTTACACAGCGCCCAACCCAACAGCCCATCAAGTGCTGGAAACACCCTGACTCAAGCATCCTGTCGACCTCCTCAAACGGAGTCGAACCTTTTTCTTTTTTTTTTTTGAGAACACCAGGTTGGTACTAGAGGAGCTGATAAGAGCAGACCCCTCTAGCGTTTCCCCGGGAGGCTCCATCTATTGGTGGGGAGCAACCTACCCAGACGCTGATTGCTGAACAGGATTGACATGCCAACAGGGAGCTCCAGCTCCCAAGGACGACAAAGAACACCAATACGACGAAGATGGAGATCTTCCCTCACGAAGAAGAAATCATTGACTCTGAGCTGCTTTGATGGGCTGCAGTCCATTCCCCCCCAACTTAGGACAAAGGAGGAAACACTCTGCAGCGTCTAGGGCCTGTAGCCCAGCGCGGAATCCCGAGTAGGGAAGTAGCTGACTGGCCTTGGCTATGGCCGTCAGGACCTCCCTCCTGATGAACTTGCCTCGCTGTGACAGGCACGCCTTTTTCCACGCTCATGAAAATAAAACTGAATGAAAAGAACCCGAACTCCCTCATGCCCTACACTATTGTTCCTTGACTCTCTAGGACCCGACAACAGCCTACTGCCTAGGACCCAATCTAGACTGCAAATTGGCAAATTTAAAGGGGGGGAAAGGAGCAAACAAAAGCAGCCTGGGCCTCAATCTACAACCAGCAGAGAAAAGATCCCCATAAGGCACAGAGAGCGCAGAACCCAGCAAGGTTAGTAAGACTAACTACTTTACAAAAAGAGAAAAGAAAAGAAAAGAAAAAAGTGCGCGGACCGCCAACGGAACACTGCAGTTATTGCACAGACACAGGTGCCCCACGAAGAGAACCTTTACATGTATCAGGAACGACACAGAGAGACAGTTCGGATCGCGGATAGATCTGATCCTCATGTCAGAGTATCTGGCAGGAGGCCTCTCCATGACAGCCATTATACTCCCTCAAAGCCCCTACCCTGGCCTGGATCATTAGATGTGTATATATGTTCTCACCTTCCAGGAGCGACCAGACCAAGGGCCGGGGTATCTTCAAGCTTATATGTAAATTTCCATATGGGACGCTGGGCCCGGTTCCCAGCACGTGCTGCTCCCCACGAATAGATTGGAGCCTTGTTCCCATTAAAAAAAAAAAAAAAAGGGCCGGGGTATTACAAACTTAATACCTCACTGCTGCTTCCAACAATACATTGAGCAATCCTGCCAATATTGGGAAGAGCGTCATCCGGGCCAGGACTCGGATTGACGATCGCATGGTTCAATAATGGTTTATTTTTTCTTGCAAGAAAGGGCAATGAATTCTCTACAAGTAAACACTTGACAACCACACAGCAAAACAAAAAACAAAAAAAAAAATAAAAAAATCCGGAGACGAAGGCATTGGCATGGACGCTGGACCCGTTTTCCAGCAGCTGAAGCTCCCCACCAATAGATGGAGCCTCTCCCCGAGTGCTAGTGGTATCTGCTTTTACCAGTACCACTTGCACTGCAGGGGGTGTTGTTTAAAAAAAAAAAAAAAACAGAGAGAAAAAAAAAGCGTATGCCGCAACTTCACGGCATAGAACAAGAAAGGAAGCTGCCAGGGCAGGAGGATGGTCCAACCACACAGCAAAACAAAATCCAGGACCTGAAAGACCTATTATTTGACAAAGCACGGTTACAGTACCAGATGGCAAAGAGCACGAATCAGAGGCAAATTACGACAACACACCACTGGATGAGCAGGAGTAATTTAACCTTTCCCATGAGCAGGAGTAATTTAACCTTTCCGGTGAAAAAAAGACGTGATCAATGCAGGATCATAACAGTCAGCGATCTATCTATGGCTGAGATGAGGTGAATAGAGGGGGTAGGGAACAAGAAGGCCTCAGGAGAGTTAGAGAACCAGAAATGAAGGGGTAGAGCAGGGGTAAAAAATCCTTCTGGTGAACGGCGTGATCAATGACAGTGTCGGCCTCAGCAGTAACCGCTGGACGCATAGAGTGAGGGTGCTGGGCCCGGTGTGCTGGGCCCCGTGTGCTGGGCCCGGTGTCCACCTATTAAACCATTAATAATTAGTTCACATGAGCCTAAGTTGACAAAGGTATCTTCTCCCCCCAAAGGTTAGCGGGCCTGAGACTGCGGGCCTTTTCCAAAGTGGCCTGCCGAGTTTGACTACTGGGCCCGGACCCGAATCGAAAAGCTTTTTTTTTTTTTTTTTTTTTTGTTGTTGTTGTACCAGTGTATACTTCTAAAGCCTTAAAGCCCTTTTCTGGTTCCCGTGAACTGGCGGTTTAATGATATGATTCAGAAAAAGAAAAGAAGAAACTCACCGGTTGGCTGATCCACTCTCCTAGGCCCCCTGACGATGCCTAGGTAGGGCTGTCTTGGCCACTCCTACCATCTTCACCCGAATAGAACGCCCGGTCATTATAGCCGTATTTGGGCCAACTTCCAGTCTAAATACAGTGATAATGACCAGCGTTCTATTCGGGCGAAGACGTCAGGCCCCAAAAAGGGCCAGGCGGATGAGGGGCCTGCCTGAAATAATGTCTGGGCCTCCGGGGCCTTGTGTGAGAGGCCCCAGCATGGCACAGCCCAGGTGCACATAAAGTTCTACGTTAATTCTCAGAACATATGAACCTGGCCATTTTGATGGCCAGGTTCCTGATTTCCGAGCGCTGGTGGGGCTGCCCCGAAACCACCACTGGCATCCAGAGAAACAGGAACTCAGATCCACCGCGGCCAGAGGCAACAAACGCAAGCCTCACAAACCAGTCAGGAGCAGGGACGGCAGCAGCAACAAATGCAGAACCTATCCCAGGGACAAGCCGGGGGGAATGCCAGGACTCAAACAGGTGTTCCAAGTCCCGTCAGCTCCAGCACGGTATGCTAGCTCTGCAGTTTCCAGCCATAGCCTCTCGCTGACGACTCAGCAAACTGCCGCAGGACCATCAAGAGGACTGCCCACCAATCTCAGAAACAAAACGCGATTGCCCAAGTTTGGACTCACAAGCCCATGCCTCCAGCGAACAACACAGCCATGGGTAGCAGCGGCCTACAATGAACAGTCATAACGCACAAGCTCAGCGACCGCTTCATCCGCTAAGCCATAGCCAGCAGCAGCCACAGCAAAAACAGCAGCAGCCATGGGTAGCAGCCACCCGACACCAATAACAGGCAGTATACAATGTTCACCGGCCGCCGCATCCCCTAAGCCATAACCAGCAACAGTAACAGCAAGAGCAGCAGCAACAGCAACAGCAACAGTAACAGTAACAGTAACAGTAACAGTAACAGTAACAGYAACAGCAACAGCAGCAGCAACAGCAGCAGCAACAGCAGCAGCAACAGCAGCAGCAACAGCAACAATAACAGCAACAGTAACAGTAACAGTAACAGTAACAGTAACAGTAACAGCGAGAACAGCAGCAGCACCAGCAGCAGCTGGAAAGGCCGCAGCAGCGGAAACCGTAGCAGCAGCAGCAGCAGCAACAGCATCTGCAGCTATAGCAAATTCAGCAGCTGGAGATGCTTTATGAGCTGCCAGAGTAACCCAGCCCATGTGGCTGAATTGTGTACCCATGAACTGTTGGTAGACAGACCTGAGTTCAAGTCCTGATCGATCAGATGAATGAAAAACCTCTGAATTACCTGGGGCCAGTCACCTCAGTGACGATATCTCGACGCTTTTTCACCCTTGCACATTAAATTTTTGGTTTCCCATCTCTTATGCGATGTTACCTCTGCTGCCAACGCTGTTATGTAGTGCACTACGTTTGTTCTCAGTGACGCTTTTCATCGGCAAGGATCCCAGAGTTTCCTTGGACGCAGTTAGACTCCATCAGATTAAAAAACAAAAAAAAAAAGCGTGCAATCATTGCAATGGTTGATTATATAGTGCGCACTACCAGTGAATGTCTGGTCGAATGAGCGCAGAAATGAGCGCAGAAATAAAGCGAGTAGATCGCCCGGAACGAACAGTGCGTAAAAAATATGTGCAGAGGAAGAGAGGGAAACCATGGGACATTGCCTCCTGGAGTGCCAGAAAGCCAGGCAAGTGTGGCAGCTAGCAAAGGCAAGTAACTGTTAGGCAACATGGGCTAGGATTGCCATGTCATCCTTCCAGGAGGACCAATTGATACTACTTCTGGGCCAACGCTGGACCCGGTTTTCAGCAGGTGCAGTTTCCCACCAATAGACTGGTGCAACCAGGAAAGAAACCCACTTGGGGTCCGGGGACCTTGTCCCACTAGCTCCGTTGAGCTAGGTCAACGTTGGGCTTTCGACGATGTGTGACTGTACGCGACAACGGAGATGCACGTCGTCCAAGTCATCTAGCCGTCCGTTTTTAATAAAAAAAGGCAATAGATACTATCTTTGCTTTTTCTTACAACAAAATTTAAAGCAGAAGTAAATCCTTTCTCTCGAATACTACTCCGGGTACTCCCCCAACCCTCGCCACTTTCCGTTGAGCTAGCTGTCTCCTTTTTTCGAGACAGCTAGCTCAACGACCCTCTTGTTCCCCCACAAGGCGTTTTTTTAGAGAAACTGTACGAGCCTCCTTCCGTTTGCCATTTTTGTACGGGATTCGGGCAACCCTTCATTTTTGGCTGTGGAAGTGCCCGTATGCCACTCCAATTGTGAAAAAAGAAAAACCAGAACAATTGTATTCGTGCCATTTATAAATGCATTTCTCATTTGAAATTGAATTAGAATGAATTTTTTTAGCTGTCGCACCGTTGAGCTGCCTCAACTAACCGGTGCAAGTCGGACAAGGTCCCGGGGTGCTCTTATCACATCTCCTTGGGTTGAATAACTTGAATTACATTGCCCGTATCTTGGCCCATAGTGCAATTATAACTCTTTCGTGTGGCTCCCGCATAGTTTCTCCCCATTAAAAAAAAAAAACAAAGATACTACTTCTTGGCACAGACACATCGAAGACAAGGTCAATCTTAAAAAAAAAAAAGACATGGTCAAGGTTTGAACACACAGGTGAAGTTTTCGGATGCTTCGCCAATCCAGCTTACGCTTATCGAGCAACACGGAAAAGAAGATGTCAGAAAAAACAATAGTCGGGAAGCCGATGCACAAGAGGGAGGCAGAAGGAGAACTCAAATCTTTGACGGAGACAGAGATAACAGCACAGTGGGGAAAAAAAAAAAAAAAAAAGCACAGTGGAAATGGACCAAAAAGAGAGGATGAAGGACAACCTGGAGACTCAGGGTTAAAGAGACGAGAGAGAAATTCGACCAATGAGTCGTACGGAGGGATACGATTGCAAGCATCGAAGGTGGCAGCCTCAAGACTTAGTTCAATCTGTGGTCAGTTATGGCAAACTGACAGGCACTGAGCAACAGGGGAGAAATAGGGCAGTTTAGAGGAAGCCCAACAGCATGGTAGATAGAGGATAAGGGATTAATTTATGGCTCCAGTAATTAAAAGAGGAACGAGGACAAGCGGTAAACGGAGGGCCGAAAATTTGCTGTGTTTCGCCGGCAGTTGCGGTGCGAAATTCAGCAGAAATTTCAAAAACAAACTATATGGGCCCATAGTGCAAAAAAACCCCAAAAAAAAAAAAAAAAAAAAAAAAAAAACGTCTCCCATCCCGACCTTCCGACCTCCCCTTCCTTGCTGTCCCAAACCTGTCTCTTATACACATCTAGATGTGTATAAGAGACAGCCTTGCAACTGGTGGCGCGTTAACCGGTAAACGCCGCGGCCAATAGCTGCGCCAAGTACTGGTGGTTTAATATAATCTCATAAGGAGCGCTGGGCCCGGTCTCCACCACGTGCTGCTCCCCACGAATAGATTGGACCTTTTGTTATTTGAAAGGAAAAAAAAAACTTAGGCTCTTGTGAACTGGTGGTTCAATAATATGGGGGAGGGGAGAAGGGGGGGGGGAGAAGACGGTTGGGATACCGTTGTGGGGGTTGCAGCTGCCCATGTGGATGTGGTGTTGTGGCTGCTGATTCTGATGTTGCTGCACTTGAAAGTGCACTTTTAATTTTTTTTCTCTTTTCTTTTTTTCTTACAAGAGTCGAATATTGTAATAAGAATGATGGAAACCGGGTCCAGTGATTGACAGTGCAAATCTTGCACTCAGTCTGGCTGTTGCTGCTTTTGGTGGGAAGGCGGCTAGCCGGCTTCTGCTGGCTGTTGCAAGTGCAGACGTAGCTACGCATTGTTAATCGGGGGTGCTTTTGTTTGCCGAATTTTGCACTGAACAGTGAAACTGTCATATTGCCCTGATTTTTTGCTTTATAAAGTTCTTTTCTTGTTTTTCTTTTGTGTGAAAACAGCGAATTTTCGGCCCTTCGTTAACTGCTTGTCATGAATTTGGGTGCTGCTGTAGTTGCCCGTACGTCTCCTAAATCGTGGCTTGTTAATGGGCACGACTTTAGGAAGTACTGAGTCTGCAACTGCACCTTTTCCAAATGGCCTGCCGCTTTAGGCCCAGGTGTGCACCCGTTTTCCAGCACAGTGGTGTCCTTTTCAAATGGAAAGATTTGTAAAGATGTATTCAAGGGACGCTGGACCCGGTTTCCAGCAGGTGATGCTCCCCGCCGTTCGACACTCCTCGGGGACGCGATTCCGAGGATTCCGTCGTCGTTCCACCTGTCCTCGGAGCCGATTTTCGGAACAGAAATGTGAAAACACTCTGAGGACAAATCCTTGGGCTCCGAGGATTTCGCAGCCAAATCGTCCTCGGCTCCAAGGGACCTCGCGAGGTCCCTTGGAGCCCGAGGATCCGTGTTTCACGGAGAGGAGAGGGCATGCACGTAGAGAGATGTTACAACCGAGAATTCTGATCGTGGCGGCACTCTATTGGCTGAAAGCCTGCAGCACAACTTTTTTTCTTTTTTTTTCCTTTTATTTTTCTGTCATTGCTCCGAGGACGAGTCCTAAAACCGATGCTCCGAGGATGAGTGGAACGAAGACGACAAAAACCCTAAACTTTTCCGAGGATTCATCCTCGGAGCCCGAGGATGCCCCGAGGAGTGTGGAACGACGCCCAATAGATGGAGCTGGTTTCAACAAAAAAAAAGAAAAAGAAAAAGAAAAAAAAAGAAAAGCTCTTACGGTGTATATCAGGAAGAGGTGTATCAAGAGTTTCTGGCGCCCAGGGTCAGTGAACAGGCACAAAGTTACAGTTCTCATTAGTTTCCTTTGTTTCATCGGTAGAACTCATGGCGGGCGCGACTCATGGAGGGCGCTGCGCCCAGTGTGCAGCAAATGTGGCTCAATTGTTGCAATTGTTTCAATTGTTCCAAGTGTACCTGAAGGGATGCTGGACCCGCTTTGCAGCAGGTGTAGCTCCCCACCAATAGACTGGAGGCCCCCGTAAGATAGGTAGGAGTGTATGCTCTTAACATCACTCCTACCTGTTGAAGCGGGCAAGATTCTTATAAGAAAAAAAAAAAAAAAAAAAAAAAAGAAGAAGAAGAGGAAAAAAAAAAGGAAGAGGTGTACTCTGTTTCAGGTAAAAGTATACACGCCGTGTTAACCGGGCTTCGGGCCTACCAGACCACAATCATAATGTTTGGCAGCGCCAGTCAAACGGGGAAAGAAATGTCACGCTGGCGGCTCTACAAAGCTTGGTGGCCAGGGCGTTTACAGCATCGGATTGTTCTTTTGTGGATATTAGGTAGTTAATCCTCCCAAAAGGGGAAAAAAAAGGGAGCAATCAATGCTATTTGGTGTCTGATAAGCTCCAGACAGACAGGTTATCTACCACCTTCCCCCAAATAGAATGTACGGCCATTATCGCTGTACCTAGTCTGCATGTTGCCCCAAATACAGCTATAATCACTGCATATTTTCTATTCTGGGTAAGACTGTAGTTGTTTCTGGCAGAGGTATTGTGTAATTGGGTGGGGTAAGCTGTTGCACTCCTGCCTTTCTACTTTTGTAATATTTCTATATGGGACTCTGGCCCCGTTCCCAGCAGGGCACCAATAGATTGCAGCTTGCAGCTTTTTTTTATCTCCCTTTTATTTATTTATTTTTCTTTTCTTTTCTAAAGGCCTTACTCATAAGTGGTTGCAAAACAAAAATTCCCCTTTCCTTTCCTTTTCTTTTCTTTTCTTTTCTGTTTTTTTTTTTCTTCTTTACTAATCAGTCATAATGATTGCACACCTGTTTCCATTTCTGTTTTTTGCAGCTTTTTTGTTCCCTTTCCTTTCCTTTTCTTTTCTTTTCTTTTCTTTACTAATAAAGTCATTGCACACCTGTTTCCATTTTTTTTTTTTTTTTTTAAGGCTAATTCTTTTAAGCCCAACCAATTCAATTACCTGTCGAATCTGGACAGGACAGCCTTTCAGGCCCTTTCTTTTTATTGTCATTATAGTATTACGGGGAACCCCGTAGAAGCCACATCCTTGGTCAAGCCTCCAACGAGGGAACGTGCGGGAGCTGCACCCACCAGCAGGTGCGATACCAGCTCAAGCAGGTGGGCGATACCAGCCAGGGGTTAGCCAGTAGCATCAGGACCGAGCTTCTTCGATGGGCCAGTCACTGTGCCTCCCCGCCGGTCCCCTCCCCCTATGAACATCAGCAGTCTCTGCTCACTGCCACTTGGGGGGACCAACGGCCTATCTCTAGGTGGCAGGCGCCAAGCTTGCCCAGGAAGGTACATCAGACCAATGGGGATTGAACCCCAGACCTCCTGAATGCCACTTGCTTGCCTTACCATCTGAGCTAGTCTGCTCTCCTAGCGCTGGGACCGGTTTGAAAAAAAAAAAAAAAAAAAAAAAAAAAAGGTTTTCCCTCCCCCTTTCTCCTTTTCTTTTCTTTTCTGAAGGTCTTACTAATAAGTGATGGCTCACCTGTTTCCATTTCTGGTATTTCCACTTGATGAAGGTTCTGCCACTCCCGAGTCCTTCGGTTTGTGAAAACCTGGTTGCAGTAGCATCCATGTGGCAACAATTCCAGGTCCCTCTCCGGGATGTCCATTCTGAAATGCCTGTCCTTGGTTCTGTCCCCATTAATGTCATGATTGACTCAGTCTCACTTTTGTGTGGCCTTCCAGTTGATTGTACCCCAAGCTGTTCAAGATGCTCACTGTCCACTGCCGAAGACGTGGAGTGTTTGCATACCGCACGATGCTCATCCACAGCGAGCAGTCTGATGGTGTCGGAATGAGGGATAGATGTTGTGGGACATCCCCTGTGGATGCCAACCTCATGGAGCATAGGAGGAGGAGGAGGCATGCTGGTTCTCAAACTGGAACTCTGCCAACATCTGCAACTCTTGCAGAACTCAACTTTATTCACCTTTCCTCCTTCATCCATGTCCTCAATTTGTGTGAATGTCCCGCCAATCACTACCCAAGTTGTCTTTAAGTTACCAATTTTCCCCATACCTGCCGCGTCTTCTTCTCCCTCTTCGTCTCTCTCCTCCTCCTCCTGCTGCTGCTGCTGCTGCTGCTGCTGCTGCTGGTTGCCATGATCACTGGTATCATCATGCGACAGTAGCATGTGATGCTCACATGATCGTGGAGGTTCGATCAGACAACTTCTTCTGGAGAACCCACTTTTCTTAAGTGTCTCCGTGCTTGGCACTTTGGTACTCAGATTACCGGCATCGACTGCCCCTCTCCCAGAACGTTCGTTTCCAACACATTGTCGGTGGCCATCGAGATAAGTCCGATTGTTGTATCGGACCTCAACGTATCCCGTGTCAATGTTGAATTCCGTCGTAGACGTAGCCCATAATGATCCTCCATCGTGTTCCTCTCCTCCTAATCTCTCAGAGTCCCAGTCATCCCTGATGTCCATCTCTCTCTCAGCTTGTGCGTCGACTACTTCCGCGCTGATGCGATTCCATGACGTGTCCAGCATCTGTGGAGTCCCTTGTACTTTCCGGTGGTAGACATGAAGCTCAACTGCGACAACTTTATGCCATTGATCAAAGGCTCTCCTTTGCAGTGTGCTTGCATGAAAAGCCCTGCCTCTATGGCGATTCGCGGCTTGAGCCTTGCGGATCGCAACGTACGCCTTCCATCCTGCCATGCTGTGAGCTAAGGCACGGTGACGCCATGCAACAAACGCCCTCGTCCGGAGATCATCTCGAACCCGTTGAATCGCGACATACGCCTTCCATGCTGCCATGCTGTGAGCTGAAGCATGACAACGCCATGCAAAAGATGCTCTTGTTCGAAGAACAGCTCGAGCCCGACGACTTGCCACGTACACCTTCCATGCAGCCATGCCATGAGCTAAGGCACGATGACGCCATGCAACAAATGCTCTCATCCTTAAATCCGCTCTCCGTCTGTTGACCCTTGGCAGCCTTCTCCACAATATCAGAGCCCGTCGAAGAACCTGCTTTGTCATAGAAGAAGAACTGACATGTAAGACGCATGGGGAAAAAGGCAAAGGCCATTTTTTTTCATTTTTTTTTCTTTTTGCGGGAAACAGCCGGGTCCCTTATTAGAGGAGACACATGAAGAATACCTCTCGGCAAACGAATATCTTGGCCCTCGAAATGATGAAGAGCGCAGCCGAATGCGGTACTCTATGTGAATCGCAGAAATCTGTGAGCCATCGGTACCTTGAACGCACGTGATGCCCAAGACTTCTGCCGAGGGCACACCCGCCTGAGCATGAGCATTAAAAAAAAAGGGGACACATGAAGAATAGTGGACTGTGTTGGCATAGCAACAAACAAATATCAAACCACCAGTACCTTTCCCCGCGTGAAATCTAAGACGCGCCGGGTAACAAGGTAGCCAAGCGGGGGAGGCCCGCCGTTGATAAATCGAATCGGCGGCCCGCTTTTCGTTTCGGGCCTCCGACACCACCCGCGGCTGACATATGGGAAAGGTACTGGTGGCTTAGTATTGTTTGGTGCATTTCTCAGATGGGACCTTCTCGTAGTGAAATTGAGAAGTGAGCATACTTGCAGTGGCTTGCAGTTGGACTGTCCTTTTCACAATCCCCTCCTC